ATCTGCATAAGGACAAGAACAGTCGTGGTATAAAACATGATAAACTACACCAGGATTTTCACCCGCGCCCAGCTCATTCTTCACATTCATGACACTGGTACGTACTTTATCTGACGTATGATGGGCGATTCGCACGCCAAGCCCCATGGAAATGCATTCTGTCGCCTCGTATATATTCCGTATGCGCGGTAGATGATGCCAATGTGTTGACTGCCCTCTCCTGTTTTCCCCTCCTGGACGCCTAGGGAGGCGACAGTTGGGGAAATTGTCTGAACCATCTTCATGACACATCACTTTCACTTCTTTCTCGCTTAGCTTAATGAATGACAGGTCGTATGTATTTTCTCTTTTGTTGACTTCGGTTTTCAGTTCCATAATCTACAGTCCTATCTTGTGGAGACTGATCGGTTGAGACGATCAGCAACAGGTTCATCGAGAGATGCTGAGCATTCTGTATGTTAGCCCTCAATGACAGCTTCGTACTTGTGCGAGAGACGATGACGGTCGTTGATCAGCACCCTCCTCGGTTGCTTGCGTTAACGTGAAACGCTTCTGCACTATTTACTCTTCGCTGGAACCTCATGCCGAAGGCTCTTCAATCACGAATACATTTATGTAGGAACCACATAATTCATATGTTGCTGCTCTTTGTGTAGAAAACGGTCGTCGGCTTCGAGTCCTGAGGTGCGTGTCACGTCCGGAATTTTGGCGAATAAGTGCGACCTCGCGTCGAAACAAGCCGACAACCCCAATTAGCAATAAACCAATAATCCAACAAGCTTACTTGCTCCATTTTAGTAATTAGGAAATGGTTTATCAAGTGTTGAGGCAAATCGATCACCGCTAACTTGCCCTGCGATGACCCTGCGATGTCAGCGGTCAACTGTCCAAACCCCTCCCAAACCCCTATCTTATTTAGTAAAGGCGATTCGGCATAAATCGTTTATCCTTCCTGACTTCTCAGTCGATGCCCTCGGGCGGATTGTAAGGCGCACTAAATTCTCTCAAGAAA